CTTTTGCCGAAGCTCAGACTCTGGCACAGGATCGGGAACGTTGGAAGCACTATCTGGCGCGTCTGCCTCCGCGACCCGAAAGGAGAAGCGGCGATGGAAGATGAAGATGAAGACTTTCAAAATTGGACATTGCAGATCTGGAAAAAATCAAGGTAGATATGACCTTCGAGAACAGTTCCTCGCTAACTACCTTAAGGACTGCTATATTAGGATGGGAACTCACATCGTGTCTACATAAACAACAGTAAGGCGCCGTCTTACACTCAGACATAAATCATAAGCAATTTTTGTCAGATTTAGTAAGCCCCTCTGGTAAGTTGTTTCGGTTATCCACCATACTCTTAAATTTTGCTTCATACTTAGAAATAAGTCAAATGCTGATTAATATCTATCTAACCTCTGACACTCACACGTACTCTAGCTGACCTGGAGTAGGCCAGGTTGGTAGAGCTTCTTGAACTTTGCCGGTAATTTCGGTCTACAATAATGGCATTGCAACTACAGAAAGAAGAAAACTCTGACTATAAATGCATATGGATGAGTTAAAGGCCACTGCTGGTATATATATTTCAAGAAAGAGCAGTGAAAAATATTCGACGCCTTGTCATCTACCGGAGAAATAGAATGTATGCAAAGGAATGCAATAAAATTAGCATCCTTCATACTACTTGAATTATTAAAACTTTGAAATTTATTGTATTTAACGTGTCAAATCTGTAAATTTCTGTTGTTGCCACTTTGAGCGGACAATGGCACCAGTCAACATGTAGAATAATTTTAGCAGAACCTCTCAAAAATTTAAAATCGTGTAGCAATGGCTAGAAGAGGAGAATAGAGAGACAGTGTAAAGAGCAAGGCTTTCTTTCCAAACCCTATGCATAAAGCAGATAAACTGACTGCCCGATTGCCTATACAAAAAATTGATGTGAATTGTAACGATAAACCTTCAGCTTCAATCAATGTCATAACAGTTCATCATATGTTTTTAGGACAAATCGCGTGAGATCTAACTACTAGGATGAGCTGATTGAGGGGGAGGGCACTGACCACATTAATCCCCAACGAAAGCGTGGCGAAGTCTTTTCACAATGATATATATCAAGTGAACGGAGGATGTCGACTCATGAGCACAATGATATAAAATCCGAAAAATTCCGGATGAATGACCTCCGGAAATGCAAGAAAAATGACATTCGTCTGTTGTTGGATAGTGGGGGCTTGAAAAGTCGTCCACTGGACTTATGTATTGGTCACGCCATTCCTTTGAAAGCGGAACATTTTAGACTGAAATGTCATATTTTAATAAGCTATGACATACCATAAATCAGGACGGAGTTTCCAGTAGAACAGTTGCTCTTATCATTGGCGTCTGACTATGTAGTCACTAGAGATAGGCGAGAGGCCACTGCCTCCATCTGAAATTTTCTTTTATCTTACGTCTGCATGGCGCCGTAGAGAGGAGTTTCCATTGAGCTTAATGTAGCATTGCGGTTTGACTTTTGGTTAACCTTAAAAAGTCTGCTGATATGTGTAAAACTTACTCAAACAGGAGAATTCAGGACCATCCTCTCTGCTCTTTTCTAAAAAGAGGTTAATGAAATTTATTTACCACTTGTGTGCCCCCTAAACAGGCAACGATCATTTCACATATGCATTCTAGCAAACATCAAAATTGCAGAAACGCATTTGCAGGTATCTTGCTGGTCAAAGACAGGACGTTTTACCGACGTATTCAGCCTGAGTATTAACTTTGGTGTTTCGCCACACGAAATGAATCATAACATATTGGCAGGGTTAGAGTAAACGAATGATATTACAGTCATCACAAGACGCGCTAGGGATAGAATTTGCACTTCGTTAGTCCGGCATCGTTTTATTGATTCCAATACTAACCCTTTTGTTGGAGAAAAAGCAAGAGGTTGAACGTTGTACTTGCTACCTCGGTAACCATTGTCTTTAATGTAAGGTATTCCTGACTGATTGCATAGCAGCGGAGATCGGTCACTAATCGAAAGCTCTACGGAAGGATTGGTGATACAAACGGCGTCCATCGTGGAAGGCAGTGAAAACCATCGTTTTCCTTCTTTCTACGCTAAACGGACACAAGGCCCATATTTCATCTACCCTGAAGTCTGAATGTCGGCTGCGTCTCGGATTTTCGCTTGAATAAGGTGAAAAGCACCATCGCTTACGAAGTACTTATATTTGTTTAAGACTAACCGTATGGTACTTTCGGAGTACCGCAAAATCTGCATTTCTGTCTCCTGTTGAGAAGCTGTGTGGACATGACAGAAGTACAGTCTTTGTTTGTACTTTCATATCGGACTTTCCGCTCAGGCAGAGTCGTCAGCGCGGTCATCACTCCGGGAGGGCAGTTGAAAAGCCGCGAAAAGATAGAACCGTTGTTAACTCCGCCTACGAACAAACCATGCTTCCATTCATCTCATGCAGCGGCCAGTGAAAGACGACGTCTGGCGATGGTCATTGACGACTGGTCAATGGATCAACGCAGGGCACCGAAAACTCACTTCGGGGAGCTGTCACTCGTCGACGGTTGGTCGATGGCCGGCAGGGACGGGCGGGTGGTTGGCGAGCAGGGTAAGCGAGCGCACACACAGGCACATCTGCTTCTAACACGAACGTTGTTCTGGGTGGTCTAAGAAGTGATTCAGGCACGCATAAGACTAGCCGGTCGGTCGGCGGCCACCTGCAAGACGTGCAAAATGATTAACTCCAGAATATACATCACGCCGATCAGACCGAGGCGCATAACTGATGGCATGCTTGATTAAAGAAAAAACTGCGCAGGCACGTCTTAGCCGAAAACTTGGCAGCATTGGCGTTGATAAAGCCGACCGACGAACGAACGAACGAGGAGCGATCGTATATCGCGACGGAGGCCAGCGACCGAGGTACTGAGTTCACAAGCGGATTCTGTGTCGTGTCGCCTGCCATCGTGGACAAGTAGCCGTTGGTCAGTCAA